AGAATGAACAACGTCTGTGTGTTGGACACTCCTGTTTAATTTCCGAATAAACATGTGGAGTAACATGCCGATAACATTCGGAGAACAAGCTGGAGAATGTGCGAGAAATACGTGAGGTACATGTGACCAACGCGCGAGAACGTGTGGGGGAATATGTGAGAGAGCATGTGGTGAAACATACGGGAGAACATTCGAGGAAACACGTGAATAAAATTGCGAAGGACCTGTGAGGCCCGAGTTACATGTCTTAGGTTGTATTCTACAAAATGAAACTTTTATGAACCTTTTGTTACTACTTTTAAAGTTTAACCCTTCTGGGCATACCAGCTCTGTAACACGGGCCTCGGGCCACGTGTGGCCCGAGAGTATTTTGAAATGTATTTAAAGTAAAATTGACTCTTTATTATTGTATGTAATTTAATCGCGTCTCGGATATACTAGTATGTCTTTCTCCTTATTAATAAACTTAGCAGAATTATAATGTTTACGCACTCACACACTACCCAGCCTTTAACGCTGAAATGCGCAGCTCAGGGTTCGTTGTCTTATGAGGTTGGGATCCAGTAAGAAGCTTTTTGCATGTAGTATTTATATTGACAAAATTATGATTTGTCAAAACCAAGTAAATTTTTGCATTTTGTACGCACCCTGATTGTGTGATTGATATGAGACATTTAGAAAATCATAAAGAAAAACTATTTTTCTTCAAAAAATATAATTAATTTTTAAATAATTTTAAAGAAAAATTATTTTTCTTTAAAATTAGTTCTTAAAGAAGTTTTACAGCTGTGTTTAAGAAAATATCGTTGGAACATTTCTGAAAATGCAGAATTAAGAGTTCATTTTCACACGAAAACTTTTGTGACTACTAGATAATCCGTAAGAGATGGTTTGAAGCATTTGTGTTCACAAATGGATCAAATTATAGAAACCTTAATGCAAATATGAACGACGACGTGAAAGACATTTAAAAATATACCAATAAATGTTTTTGACAAATCAAAAGTTTTAATAAAAGAGCGTTGATGACATGTGGTTTAGTGCATGGGGGTCTATCCGAACAACACATTAAGCAAACATTTGAAGCTGGTTTTGAGAAAGTCTTGTTTGGATTTTTTATTTGTCTCAATTTCACTAAAATTGCGCCAAGGATACTCATGTTTTCAAAAAATTAGATGACATATTCCAAAATTTTTAATCTTAAAAATCTGATTTCATTTACGCAAAATCTTCAGTAAGTGTAGTTTTATAAGATGGCCGAAAACATAAACTTTTACAATTTCGATTACCTCAGAGGTTTTAATTAAATCCGGTCTGCGCCATTTTCTAAGCAATATTTACTCTATTCCAGCAAAATAAATTAAAGAAAAATATTTAAAGTATTTTTTGAGAAAATGTTGAGGTCGGGGCTTCATGTAGAGCACCCCCAAAAAATAAAAGATTCATTTCAAATTCTCAGGTCATCAAAACATCGATCGAGGAATAAATATTCCGGTGAACATTACGCTTAGGGATGTGACGTCGATGTCGATGTTATCAAAACATCGACTTTTTGGAGAAACATCGATGTTTTAAACATCGATGTTTTAAACATCGATGTTTTAAACATCGATATATTAACACCTATTTTTTTAACATCGATGTTTTGTGATAGATATTTTTTCGGATGTTTTGTTTCTGAATGAAAAATCCCATGATCACAATACTATAAAAGTCAAAATATGAAAAAACAACAGTTTGTAACAGTGATATTCATGTGTTGGAACTAAAGAAACGCTATTGCACTATCTTCACCAACAAAACTCTCGCCCGAGATGACATCCATGTCCTTGTCTTTCCTATTTCTTCATATTCATTTCGCACACTGAGATAAGGTCAACAAATGTGCTGTGGGTGTAAGGTGTGCCCCTACTTCTTGTGCCTTTATTCGGCGAATTGATAAACACGAACCCCTGTCAATTAAATTTTAATTCACACGAATTTAATGTTATAGGTTACTAATCCAGCCTAAAAACATTGATGTTGAAAAACATTGATGATCTTTAGTATATCGAACATCTATATTTTAATTTTGAATATCGATGTGTGCTAACATCGATGTTTTGTTATCAATGTGGCCTCGCTAGTACGGTTTAGTCGGCAGTGGTGCTCACAGAAGGTCAGGCCGACAGACAATGGACAGACAGGTAGATTGAAATACAGACACACAGACGGGCAGACGGACGGACGAACAGGCAAGAAATCGAATGAACAGTCAGACAGTCAGTCAGACAGTCAGTCAGACAGACAGACAAACAGACGGTCGAATGGACTGACGGACCCACAACTAGACTGATGAAAGAACGGAGACACACGGATAGACGAAGGGACAGAAAGGCGGGCGAACGGTCAGAACAGCTAATGGACAGAGGAACAAACGGACTGACGAAAGAACTGACAGACGGACAAACTGACTGACTGACGGACGAACGGACGGTCAGACGGACAGAAGAACGGGAAGACGAACGGACAGACAGTGGGACGAACAGTCAGTCACAGAGCGTCAGAACAGAGAGTCAGTTTTGTTTGAAAAAACCCTATCGATTTCTGGGTTCCAAAAACTTGTGTTTCCGTTTAAATTTTGAGAATGATTTTTGACGAATTCGCGAATTATTCGGTTTCCTGATACACTTTATCCTGATACTTTGGGTAAAGTTGAATGAAAGACATTGAACGGGTCATTTCAGACATTATCCGGCTATTGTTAGCATTAGCAACAGGCCGTTCACTAAAGTACTATTATAATCATCCGAGTGTCTTGTGTTTTCCGTGAAGAATTTTGGTTTATAAATAAGCTGGAAATTATTTGCTTTACAGTTTCGAGATTGTTTGGAGTGAACTACAAAGGTTCACTGCTCGTCGCCTTGTCTCCAAAACTCGTAGTGAACCGTGTCAACGAAGGTTTATAGTGAGTTTGGGTTAGGTTAGGTGGTATCAAGTAAAGAGAAACTTACAACTGTTAGAGGAACTCAAAACTACATACGTCTCCCACTAGCCGTGGAATACTCTTACAGGTAATCTGACTTATCACCATTCATCGCCATTCTTCGTCATCTTAACATACTTCACCTATCTTAGACACAGCATGGTGGTTAATTGGACTGCCAATGACCGAACCCATTATCGCGTTACAGTTAACGAATAATTTTGTGAAGGCTATGGAAATTTCTGTAATATTTCTTTCCTTTTAATATTTAAGTTCGAAGTTACCTACCACAAATAATCCTAAAAGAATAGAAAGGGTTTTCATTGGCGCCTTGGGTGAGAATAGGGGACGGAACGCTATCCGCTATTGAAGAAATACTGACCAACTGTAAAACAATCGCATGGTGCATGTTCAAAAATTCGTGTTACAACTTCTTCTGTGAGTATTATCCTTATCTAGAATGATATACGTATACTTACTTTTTCTCTTTGTATAATCACACTGAAACACGTTCTCGTCTATTTCGGAGCAATGTATAAACATGTTTCATCAGCCAATTGCATCAATGAAACGATTCAAAGACCAATTGTCGCTCAATTTACTGACTACTATTGGAGTACTGTTGGAGTAGTGTGTGTCAGAAATTCGGTAATTTTGCTAGAGTAAAAGTAGCCACGCTAAAGTATTACAGGAGAGTTTTGAAGGTGCGTTTTTTTAACATTGCGGGTGAAAAAATGTAGGCTGATGCCAAATTAAAGTATTAAATACCAGTTTAAATCCATATTTCGATTTAATAAATGAATTGCACATATTAGCATAACACAATAATGTTACAGAGTAAAATATTGCATAAATTTGACAATATTGTAGTTGTGGGGAAACTTCCAACGGTAAACATTAGAAATTTGATCAGTTTTGCTAAGTTTTCAAAATCGGTATATGTGATTAAATGACGACCACCTACTTTCTCGTACAGTGATAAATCAAAAATTTCCCATTTGTTCCTGAGTGTTCATTAATGTTCATTTGAAAAGCCATACTCCAGATGTCTCTGGATACCCACGTTGCATTTGAGACATGCTATTAATTCATTAAATATATACTATAAATTATACGTTTTGAATTGCATAACGTGAAATTCTAACTCATTATTTTATCAAGCATTCGTTATTATTTCTTGAACCACAAAACCCCGAAGATAAGCCCAATAAATTCGAATTAGGATGCAACTGATGGTAATGGGTATTTGGCTCTTAAATAATATATAAAAGTGGTGATGTATGCTTGTAGCTTCGAATGTACTTTACACTTTATGAACGGAATGTTTGGTAGCATTATTCTTCCGTATACTTCAGTTTGAACGTTTGCTCTATTGACAGCGTTGTAGAAAATCACGGGAAACTGATACTATGATCGTTTTGTTTATTCCAAACATTTTACAGGATCTTTTATGAAAGTTTTAAAACTGTTGGAGAAGGACTACGGAAGGAGCTTTAATATAATACGCATTTATGTCACACATGTGAAATCCCTCTTGTTGCGTTTCCACGAGTTCTAAAAAAAATGTTTCCATTGAACATTGAATGAATGAATACATGTATGAATGAATGAACGAACGAACGAACAAGAGGATGGAGTGAACATACACGGAAAAGTGTACTATATATTCGTAAAAAGACCACAATCGTTCTGTCAAGTGTATGAGTGAAATGAAGGTTCTGTATTTTTCATTCACTGCGTACTAAATGGACAGATACATTGATGTAAACAACTTTAAAATATTACTGGAAGGCATCGTTAAATAAATTTGCTTTTCTTTTCTCTGCGGATGTTCTGTTTAAATTTAATTATTTTTAATTTTTAGAGTTTCAAGCAGGTAAACAATTGACTTTTATTTCGTCTTTTCTAGGTCTCTGGTATAGGAAGTACAGCCGTCGAGTATGTTCCAAAGAAATGCATGATACAAAACACCCGTACTGATAACGATAATGTTCAGGGGATGTTTTTAGAATATACTTTAAAGAGAGAAGCTTACCTGAAACAAATCACCTTCCTGAAACGACAGGAACAAGCTCTCCGCATTATTCGCACTTGAAACTCCCGCTAAAGAGTCTTCAAAGGGAGCAGTATTCACAGAGGGGGATACCTGATTTGAATTAGATTTCGATGAATTACAGTTGTTTAATTTTGATGGACTACCATCAAAAACGTTCGGTTCGGAATTGCTCTTTTCCAATTTGACATTTAAACCTGGAGATCGCAAAATTGCCTCACACATTTTCGTTTTTTCAGGTTTATTTACTTGACTTAGCTTCTCGGTTTGATACTTGACAGTTCTCAATGAATTAGGAGACGTGGGCATAGAGCGCGTTATTGCAAAAAACTCGCAATTATTTTTGCTGTTTTTTTCTCTCGTAACACCACAAAAAGAATGCTTAGCACGATAAATATCTTCCATGTTATCACACACATACACACACCTTACGAATTTGCAATATAAATCACCACTCTTTTCATTTAAATAAGCACGTCGCACATATTGGTTGTGTTTAAGTCACAAGTTCATCGGGTCACATGAAGAATAATGCTCTTTTCATTCAATTTTCACTTTGTTTCATTAAAACAGAGTGGAACCCCGCCCGTTCCCAACACTTCCCTTACAACCACCCCACGCACCCCTACTTCCCCGACTGCTGTGATACTGGTTTAGCCGGTGAGCTGTTGCGCGTGTTCGTTGCTTACCTGGGAACTTGCGCGCCATCTTTCGACTCTTTCGTGAACTTGTAACTGAAGGAGGGCGGGGGTGGTCTGATTCTGTTAGATTCCGAATCTTTCTCCAAATTATACCATTAATTAGAAAACCAGTGTTCTGAATTTATTTATTCATCTGAGAAATCACTTTTCTGAATCATAAAACTGCAGGGTTTATTTTCTGAGAATAATTTATCAAACGGCGCTACCGAGCGGTAGGGGACGATAAACCTCCCGAAAGGCGTTATTGATCAAACCTGTATCAAAGTAGTTGACGGCGGTATCCTGTGGTATGGTTACGGGCTCGGTTACAAGCGGTCTGTTTTTACATTCTTGTAGGTCAAATGAAATAAACGGTTGTCGTAAAATTTGTACTTTTCATTTCAAACTTGCTGGATAGATATATCGACGTACACGTGAGGCCAGCAAATTATTTTTCATTGTATTGTTACACTTTATTATTACATACATGGACAATTAATTGCATGCATATACATTATAACAGTAACATTGAACTGCACAGTAATATCGTATTATTGAATTTCACGGATAATTGAATTTTGCGGCTGTGCAGTAATTATTTTACAGACCGTTCTTCTTGTTTTACCCTTCTTTCGGCGGAATCTTCGCAATGTGTTAAATTCAAAATAATCCTGGCTTGACCGAAAGGAGAGCAGTGGTGCACTGCTGGTACACTAATGGGTTGTACGCACGATCTTTTTGTACCAGACGTACAGAATAAGTATTAAGGGATACAAAGAATGTTAACCCTGGTTATTCCGAAAATTCTTAGCATACGTACGGAAAAATGACTAGAGACGGAATTGATATTTAATTTAATATTGCACAATGATTACAATTACGATTAATACGTATTTTAATCTATGTTACTTGATGCCAAATTTTGTTGAAATTGCTGTGTACGACATTTTGAACCATTCCCTCTCACAACAATGCCATGATTTGCTCGCCGAAAAATGTATATCCTAGGTAAAGTTTGTAATTAACTTATCGCCTAGAGCAAATAAACAAAACTTTACAGAATCAGTGTATTCTTATGGGTTTTTGTTGTTTGCTTGTATTTAAACAAAAATTGAATGAATTACTGTTAGATTAGTAACTTATTTCTGTACTCTGCTACAATTTCAGTGTATTGGTTACTTTTCTTCAAGCTTACTAAGTAGCTTATTGTAGAAAATGAATATTCTACATTTTCTCATGTTAGGGATATAATTGTTGATTTAATAATAAGCTCATTTTGGTATTTTTTCTCATTTTACTTTCATTGAAATATTGATAATGAACTTCAGAGAATTTGCTATGTTTTTATAAAATATATTTCAAGTTTTGAAGTTTAAACACCATTTCTGGCCATTGACTTATCAGGAACCCCCCCCTCATCATTTCAGGGGCAGACCCAGCTGATCTTTTCTTCTAGGAGATGGGGACATAGATTTTGGTTAAGAAATAAACATATTTGTTATTATATTGTATATTATTTTTGCAGGTATATATGAGAGATACTATACAATATGTTTAAATAATTTACATAATTCTAATATAAATAAATAATTAAATCAATTTTGCCAAATAAAGGAATGTTATAAAGGAAAACTAGGCATTTAGGGAAGGGAGCCATGCCCCCCTTGCATCCACCACTGCATCATATACCCCCAATGTCATTCATAACTAAATAAACATTTTTGTCCATATGCAAATTCACTACTAAAAATTTTATTGTCAACCACTTTTTTAAAACTTCAATTCAAACACAAAATATTCTTGCACAATAATAAAATAAAGATTGTTTTACACATTATTTGAAAAAATCTTTTTGAAAGAGTTTCCAAATTAAAATAATTAATAAAAAAAGGAATTTAGGAATGTCCACAACAATGTCATCTTAAATGAAGAGCAAAAAGTTTTTTATAATGAGTAACAGAGTACCCCATTTATCATAGTTCTAAAATACATTTTTGTTGTAACCATTCAAGGGTAACTACACAAAACATCTTCAGTAAACAGATATCACACAGTGCACATTTTTGGTGATAGCATTATAGTGAGGCCACTGGAAGAAGACATGTTTTCTTCTAACAGTGTTTCCTTATTACAATAATACCAACTGAAAAAAAAAGATACAATACACATACAATAACAATATTCAAGAGATGATACATAACTCATAAGAGGCTTGTTAATAAATGTGTCAGAGAATTGTGGTTTTTTCACAAGAATAGATTTAGTTATAAATTACCCTGACTTTAGGAATTTTGTGCTAATAAATTATAAGTACATTATGCCCTTCAATTCTCTGAAATTTCTTCTGAATTTAGTAATTTTTTGAAATGATTACCCAAATTACAGTACTTTATATGGTTATCTTAAATATGTTTGTTAATTAAATGTTCAATATTCTGAATACTTACTTATTTCCATGAATATCAGATAGTGTTACTTTGTCAATGAAAAGTGGTACATAGTTATAATAAATTTCTTCATTATTTGTTTTATCAGGTGATTGAAACACCAGTGATTGATAACTCAAAACTGCTGTCAGATTAGATTTTTTCTTCAAGTCAATTGATCCAAATTCAGCAGCTGCTAGCCCCCACATAGCACGTCCACCCTGAATCACATCTGGAAACCTAGCAAAAATAACTGTGTCAGGTCACCTGTTAAAAAAGTGAACAAAAGGTAATTATATTTACTGTAAAAACATGTACTCATAATGCATTTTGAAATTAGTGTGACTTGATCCATGCTTGAGCTTCATTAATACAATTCCTCTTGTTCGTGGTGTTCTCTCAGAGATAAAAACTGTAGATCGCAGTTGAAGACCTTCAAAAAATGATTCAAAAGTTGAAAATTCGTTTTCCATAAAATTTCATAAACAACTACAATCAGGATGCAAACTGACAGAGGGAATGCTGGGGATTGTCCCCCTCTGGAGATTTGTGTTCTCTACTGAAAAATTATTCATTTCTCCTTGCCAGGAATACAATTGATCCATATTAGGTGCTTTGTTTACAATTTCCATAATCTGAATTGTTTAAATCAAAGAATTCAAATGAAGGAAATGGGACAAGAAAACATTCCAGGGAATATTCTTAAAGTTCACTATGACTGCAAAGATGGTCTTTGTAAATTCATCTGTTCATTCCCTCTTGGAGTTGTGAATGTTTCCTTCTGAAGAAAGTTGCCAATTTGCACCCTGACTGTAATACAAAGATTTTTTAAATAAGTAAAATAAAAAATTAAGAGAAAATTGTCAAAAAATTGTAGTTTAGGTTATTTTATCATGTAGGAGTGGTAAAAATTTTCTCTAATTTCAAAGTCACAATTGAAATTTTAAATTCATATTTACCACAATAAGGACTTGTTTCTCGTGTCACCAAAAACAAAGGTCCTCTTGCTTTCGATTTGTCTGCATCAATTCCCATTTGAGCACAGACATGTTCTGTCTTACATGTATCTGTATTTGGAAAGCAACTGCCTTCATGATATCTATCTTGTCCTCCAGGACAAGGATATGCAGTAAATTGACATCCACCATCTCTGTATGTAAGGCTTTCAATAAACAGTCTCCAGGCCCGGACATGACTGCACACTGTACTTGAATTTACAGTTCCCTCTATTCATGCAATAAGAAAATGCACTATTTTGTGAATGCAAAGAAACTAACATTTTATGACTATGAATAAAATATTTATCAACAACCCTAAACGAAATTTGGACAAAATAATATATTCTCTTCCATGTTATATATATATTCTCAATGCCCTGAATTACTTTTGTTGTCTTGTAAGACTTAGTCACTATCTGTAATATTATTTTCTTTAATAAGTATAAAAGAATGTTAAAAGGTACATTCTGGCTTAAAAGGAGCAAAGGAAAACATTTTTCTATTCTATTATATTAATCCTGTATTAATGAAACATAGGAGTTTCTACTTACCAAAGTGGCTTACAACTAAAGAAGCTCTGCCATCATTGCATCCAGCCTGTTCCTCTCCACCATTAGGGTAAAAATCAACATGACCCAATGGCTGAAGCAAGCCAAAACCATTTGTCCATACAGGACTACCATCTGTGTGAATTACATCCACAAAATGGGCATCATCTTTATCTAACTTGCGATGTGCTTCCAACAATCTAGTACTTTTATAAATTGGTGATGCTGGATCTAAACCTGAACAAAAAAGAAAAATTATCAACTCTCTTGACCAATAGATTGCTCCATATTGAATAAAAATGGAATGAGATTTCAAACTTTAATTTTGATAAAATTGAAATTCAAAATTTGATCTGGAAATTAACATTATAATTTCATGAAATGAATTCAATGAATTTAATGAAAATCAAAAAAATCTTATTTACTTAAACTGAAAGAACTACTAATTATTTTAGAACCGTTTTAGACCTACCTGTAATTCTGCCAACTTTAACACCTCTTTTTTGCAGTATGTAGCTAGCACATGCTGCAATATGAGCTCCTAAACTGAAGCCAACAATATGAATTTTGGCTTCAGGCGACCCCAAAGTCAATATATCAAACAACAAAAGTGCAAGCTGTCGTCCAACTAATTCTGTATTTGCAACAGACACTGGATATGATGGGCCAGCAGCACCTTTTGTCCAGTCTAGAAATATAATATTTGCATCCATCTGTCAATGTGACATGGATGAACATTATAAAAAAAATCAAAGAAATCCAATTAATTGTCTCTGTATTGCAACTAATAATCTTGAACTGGCATAATTCACAATATTACACATGAAACACAACATATTGTGGGCATATTGTGGCAAGTCTTACCAACTTATTTCATGTGACCACAACAATGCATGAATATTTGAGGGGAAAAATTGAATATTTTGGAAAATGGAGCAAATATTTTAGAGCTATGCCACCTTTGCTGCCATCTGTTCATTTCATCTGGTTATCAACTGAGTGACTGGGTTTCAGATTCTAGAAGAAGATTTTTCATTATTTCTAATCAAATTATTATTCCCAGCATGCTATTAAGATCTGCAACCAGATCTTCTGACCAAAGCGGGATATTATTCACCTTCCGAGTCAAGATTTGATAAGAATCCTGGAATTCTTTCAGCACCTTTTCTCATCAGCTTAGCCACTTCTTAACTATATTTCACCATCATTCAGCATGGGTGAAGGAATAAGAAAATAGGACTAATTAATGAAGAATAAACAACAAGAGTTGAAACCTGCCAATTTGAATGTGGCAGAGCTAGACAATTTTGGGCCTGCGGCAAAGCTGAAACATAGCCTCCTCCCCCCAAAAAAAATTTGAAAATCTAAAAGTTGCATCAAGAAACTGAGTTATTTTCTTTCAACAAATAACAAAAAAAAAAAAAAATGTTTAAACTAGAAAAAGTTTTGAAAAATATTTAAAAAATGTATAATTTTTTCTTTATTTTTTTGTGAATATACAGTGAAATATATTTCTAAAGATGGCATGGGGGGGGGGGGGCAATTTGTGCCCCTTGAGTATTATACCTTCAAAAAATAACCTATTATACTCACACCGTAGTTCTTCCATAATCTGTCTCAGGTGTGCCGTCTGTGGGTGTAATTGAGGAATTGTATCTCTATTCCCAGAACAATGTTATAGGGAAGAATGGTGTATTTATCTGCCCTTTCTCTATGGTACAAGCTTAGTGATGGGGCCAAGGGCAGCTAAAGGGCTGAGATACTATGCGATGTTGGGGGAATGCGAAGGTACTCCTTAGCTCTTTGGAGAACGGGAATATTTACAGAACGGTAGAAACCGCAAGTGACACTGGTATGTCATTTAGCTTAGACAAATGTGGGTGTTCTGCTGTCGTTAACGCGCCACTACATTGAAGCTGGGAAGACGGGAGGGGTGGCGGGGTGCAAAAGCTAACAGCTAGCCCACACCGAAGAGAATAGGAAACTAATTAGTACGAGAAAGTATTTACTATTCTGAAGCACCATTCATTTTTTTTTTCGCAACGAGACATTTGCAATACGAATGTATACGTAAATAATGAAATTCGCGCTATTTAAAAAAATGACTTTAGGGAGTATGTGCCACCTCGAACGTTAAAGCACTATCGATCTTCTACGCATGCTCAGTTCAAGTTTCGCACCACTTTCGTGCATTTGCGCATGCGTAGAAGATCGATAATGCTTATCGTTCGAGGTGACACAAACTTCCTATAGCTGACGCTATGGCAAGCACAAACTCCGTATTCAACATTCGATGTTGGTATCGAACGATAATCGAACGAAGGTTTCACCTGTCATCTGCAAATAAGCTAGCGAGTTGGTGGTGCTCAATTTGTGTGGTTCGTATGTTTTAATATGCATAGTTTATCGAAATTAATTTTAGTTATGTTAATTTTAAATACTAAATTTAACTTGTGGTTTCAGTAATTATTATCAGCCATTTTTATGTACAATGTGGATAGCCTTCCTTGGCTATTGTAGGGTTAAGGTACCAGACGTAGGTAGTTTTGTGTCACTGAATTGAATACCCGTGAAATTTACTTTAACGTTCTGCCATATTGTTGTCGTATTTGTGATACTATATGTTCATATGAAAGTAAGTATCGCACCCTCTCGTTTCTTTTTTTTTTTTTTTTACAAGAAAAGAAAAGTGATCGGGAGATAAGTGTGCAGCAATGCCAATGTGACCGAAGACTAACTCAAATTTTACCGTTAAGAAGACAGAAACTAATGTTAGAATGAATATAACTAATGTTTAATTTTTAATACTCGTAAGTTAAGTTATTTTGTTTTGTTCATTTCAAACTTCATTAAGAAAATATATATATTGAATGATAAAATATTATTAAAAGCATTTAATGTTCACTAGAACATTTACTGTAGGTTAGGAATTGAAATGAGGGTCCTGCATCTCAAAGATGAAAGGTTGCCAAGTAATTTAATATTTCTGTAAGCAGCATTGTTCATCGTAACTAGACAACAGTCTTGTTATTAAATATTGTCTTTTGTTATTCTTGGACAGTTATAGTCCTAACCATTGTCTTGTATTTGACAAGACATATTTTTAATCTGTGTATGAAACGTGTTATATCACCTTTCGCACAGAACCATTTATGTTTACTACACAGTAAAATTGGTGAGTGATTTGTGCTATAAACACCAGTATAGGCTGTTAAATTTTGAAATTATTCCATAGTCGTATGCCTACTTACCAATTTGAGAAATTCAGACACTCCCCACAAAGCTGCTTGATCACTTGCACTTCCCTTGTATCCATGAATCAGTATTTTCACTGGAGAGTGAATACTAAAATTTGAAGACTTGAGAGAAAACATATTATCACCATATTTAATTGTTTGTGGTGGACCTATGTTTTCACGTTTGTATAGTAAGAACTTAGTATCAATTTCATGAGGTGCTTGAGGAACTTTCATTAGTGGTGAGTGTTTTCTTGATGTTTGAAAGCAACCAACTGCCTCTGCGTAAAACATGGTGATTTGAATAATATATGTGGTTCCTAACCTTTTGTTCAAAGTTTAGAAAGCGTAGTTAAATAGTAAAAGGCATTGAGGTCTTACCATAGCATATTTCTCTTTGATTTGTTGGTACTTTGGTATGAGTTCGTGCTTGTCGCAAAGCTGAGAATCTTTCTCTAAGAATATTAGATCCTTTCCTAAGTTGTTGAAGTGGCTGTAACCTCTGACCTGAAGTAAAAATGTCATATATTTATTATTGGCCTTGTTTTAAAGAGAACTATGTAGTACTCACCATTTGTTTGAGTCATACTGCAGTTTATCTCCCAACCCATAATAAAACATACTGAAAACAGCCAAAGATTCATCGTATGGACGAGTCATCAACAGAGCAGTATATGAAATTAAAGACTGATGCTGGACTGAACATGAAGGAAGGAAGCCAGCAAGCAGCCCACACGCTTCCTGAATGAGGACACTTTCACTTTCAATTTCACCGCGGGAATACGCAATAGTATCGTCGTTCTCGGCTTTGCCGCAGGCTTCGACAGCAACCCTCACGCAGTTCCGCAACTGACGGGAACTTTTGTTCAAATAATCCGTCGCATGACATTTTTAATTTAAAAGCCCGTGTGCCTGGAGAAAAATATATTTATGCGATTATTACTTTAAGTTGTAATACTTCGGCTTCCCTTTCATATCCTGAAAATGTAATGAGAAAAAGTTGATATTTTCCAAATTGAAATAATTTGGGGAGATGGTACAACGAAGGGTAGTGACCAGTGGTGGTGGCTGCTGGTAACAAACTTGATTGAAACATTTCATTAATGTATTGTTACAGATGTATATATGATAATACAGGGCGACTGTGTGTGAAAGGGGCAGAAAACTAGATGTGTGTGTCCTTTACATAGGAACTTCCGTGTACTAGAAATAAGTACACTCTTTATATTTTGTTAAAATTGTATGCCTGTTTTTAAACATTGATATTAAATCCACCACTCAAATCCAACGTTTCACTGTGTTAGCAATATGGTGCAGATATCCTTAAAATCAATTACTTTTTGGCGCGTTTTCTTTGTAATATAGTGGAAATTAATCCATCATGAAATAAAGTGTTCGTAAATCATGCTTTTCGTGTAGGCAGCAATGCAGCGGCAGCCTGTTTCCGATGTCTTTGCCACGAAAGGAAGGGGAAGAGGGCCATGGAAAAAGGAAGGATCTCAAGAATTCAACGAATTGAGAAGACCGCGCTCGCTTCCTCCTGTTGGAGGTATGCAATTTGTTACGTGCATAGTGTTTGAAGTTAGGTTTCTAACGAGACTTTCTAACAAGGAGTGATCTTACAACATTGTTGGCACTTCCCATTTCTCTAAAATATGCTTTGACGGCTTGTAGACGACGTAAGGCGAGCGAGACCGTAATCGACATTCATATCCAGCTACTCATAAAAGAAGACAATATTTTGTTTAGGTGGTATTTGTGGAATTATTAGCTATTGATAAGTTTTCCTTTACTCATATTAATAATAAATGTATTCTAAAAACGTTCATATCTTCCATTGAAAATTCATGTTATTAATTTATAGAGCTTTCATCAATTCCAGTGAAATTAATTCTCTTACATTTGTATGGTTGATATTGTGTAAATTATTTTAATTATATTTTCCTGTATATCATTAGGAAATACCCATATTTTAAACATTGTTTAGAAGAATTCACTTGTATTTGAATCTGGTTTTGGATTGGATTGTTTCTCGAGAACTAATTTGGAAGGAATGAATTATGTTTGATCAGATTATTATTGCATTTTTTTATTTAAAAAGTAAATCTTAAATGACACCTCAAATGATGAATTCATTTTACTATTAATTACCATTGTTTGGTATGTTAGGAGTTCAAATGATCAATAGAAGAATAGAGAAGCATTGATAAGTGAATGTAATATAATGGCCTTGCATAAAAAATATTTGTAGCCAGGAAATGTCCAAAGTTTTTTGACAGTTTAATGACGTAAGCAGTACCACATTACAACCTTAATTTAATCCATTACAAATTAATTGATGTTATTTGATATTGATGATATTTTGATATATCTGCTGTGAACATTTGTGGATTTTGAGTGTGTTCAACAGGAATTCATTTTGAGTCAAACTTAGTGATCATATCATGCCTCCCTTCAGGAGAAGAAGAAGAAATGTGAAGAAAACATTCAGTTTTGGCTTAGCATGCCACAAACGGAAGGGACTAATTTCAGGATGTTTTCTAAATCTCACAAATAATTATATACATTTAATACACAAAAACTGTTATATTTGAATGTTTTTTGTGGTGTTTTTTTTCTTCTACTACTACTTCTTCTTCTTCTACTACTACTTCTTCTTCTTCTACTACTACTTCTTCTTCTACTACTACTACTACTTCTTCTTCTTCTACTACTACTACTTCTTCTTCTTCTTCTACTACTACTTCTTCTTCTTCTACTACTACTACTACTACTACTACTACTACTTCTTCTTGTACTACTACTACTACTTCTTCTTGTACTACTACTACTACTTCTTCTTCTACTACTACTACTACTACTACTACTACTACTACTTCTTCTTCTACTACTACTTCTTCTTCTACTACTACTTCTTCTTCTACTACTACTTCTACCTATTTTCTTCTTCTGGTCTTCTACTACTTATTCTTCTTTTTCTTGCTTCTACTTACTTTTCTTTCTTCTACTCTTCTTCTCTTCATATCTTCTTTCGTTCTTCTAGCTACTTCTTCTTTTCTGTTCTACCTATTTCTTCTTCTTCTTTACTATTCTTGTTCTCTTCTTCTTCTTATCTACTGTACTTTTTTACTTATTCTGTCTACTACTTCTTCTTCTTTTCACTACTTCTTCTTCTTTTCTTACTACTGTGCTTCTTCTTCTTCTACGTATTCTTCTTTTCACACCTCCTTTCTTCTTCTCACTACTTTTTTATCTTCTTCTTCTTCTCTTCTACTTATTTCTTTTCTTCTTCTGTAACATTCTCCTTGCTTTACTACTCTTTTTTCTACTATACTTCATCTTCTTCTACTTATGTTCTTCTTCTACTATTCTTCTTATTCTACTGACTTCTTTATACTCTCTACTACTCTTTACTCTACTCAACTCTACTTTACTACTGTTCTCTTCTCTCACTACTTATCTTCTCTCTACTTTCTTCTTCTTCTTCTACTATTCTATCTATTTTCTTCTTACCACTGATTTCTTCTTACTTCTTCTTCTTCTACTTCTGCACTTCTCTTCTCACTTTTCTCTTTTCATCCCTGTTAAATATGCCCAATCTCGTGTTGTCACGTTATTTTACCCAAATTTTTGTTACATTGCGTTTGCACAATGCCAAGAATGGACATGGGCGTACTTTTAAAGTCCGATGCTTCTTAAGGTATATCATACCACATGGATACTATAGTACATCTTGCGGGTGACCCAAACATTTATGAAATATCAAAGGAAAAAACTATTTTTATCAAAAAGAAAGAGTATCAGACTGGACCGTTTTGTTTATAGGTCATCATGTTGTCCGCAAGCGAAATGCCTCGTTTTTCAAGAACTATCTCTACAACCATCTTCTAAGGTTGCGCAAAATATATATCGAGGTGTGAGCATCAACTGGTTTATTAAGTCGAAAAGATGCCACGAAAGGATTACTGGGGGGTTTTGATGAGAGGAAAAACCCATTGTTTGGAATTGTCTTGGAGGTTTTTTGAATATATTAATTGTTACTGGTTAATGCATCTTGTAAGGGTTCTTTTGTTCTTGTAAAAGTTGTCTGCTTGGAGAACAGTTTGCCGGTTTTTATATAGCTGTCTGCATACAAAACGCAGATATAAAAGTTATAAATTAATTTTTCCTTTTCAATTTTTAGAATTAATTTCAGTATATGGATTACTTATCTTAATTTTTATTAAAAACAGTTGATAATTATCAATGATAATTTTAAGAAATAATGTTAAAACTTTAATCTCATTTCAAGTCAGCATAATTAATACGGGCTGCAGTCTAATTAATTGCAAGTTCTTGTTCTGTAATAAAAATCATCACATAATTAATTTATTTTACTGTGTTTACCTCATTTTCTTTTTCATATTTATAAATGAATCAGTATAAAGAATGTCTATTTGCTGTAGGTAGTAGATTAATTTCCTTATATTAGTAGACGTCTGTGATTGAATGCAAAAATACTGTATATTTTATTTATTTGTGTAAGGTAGGCAATAAGTCCAAGTAAGGAGTTTTTGTGTACACCATTTGTGTATGATTATTAAATCTCATTTATTTATTATGAATCCGTCAATCTAGTTTCTAACATGATATAAAATGTGTATACATGTGAGGTGTAATGAGAAACTAAAGAATGTAAATTTAGAGCAATAGTTCTTAAATACTTAAAAAATAAATTTATGCCTTTGTCTTTATTTAAAGAGTATTAAATTTAGTATTAATTGGGTGAAATTTGATTTTTTCATTGTATATATCTTGTGGTGGATAAATTCCATGTCTGTTAATTCAATTAACTCAAGGCACCTCCATTGAACCTTACGAAGCTAGCCTTAAGTTTCTTTCTGAGACCAATATCTTGTAAAAGCCATCCTTGGTCTTGGATATACTAAACAATCATAACATTTATGAAAATTTTTTGTAATGACATCCTGAACTTCTTGTAACATTAACTTAAGAGCATGTTATATTAAATAGTAATAAGAAGCTCACTACCCATGGAGTTGGTTTATCTAAATTATTAACGATAATATATGGTAATATTTAACAAATGTATTTTCAAATGATAGGAAATTGCTATGTATTTTTATTTAAAACATGAAATTCTATAGTATGGACTATATTAATTGAATCCTTTGGCTGAATCTGTAAACAAATTGTTCATGCTCGAATACATTACTTATTTTTGCCGTGACAAGTATACCATGAAGAACAAAAATAGAGTGAACTGGAGAACATTTTTTATTTGAGAGTAATTTTTGAGATATTGAAGTGTTTTCGTAGCACTCGTCATGGTAAACCAAAATGAGGTCGTATGCAAATTTTACCCAAAGTTTTTCTGGAGAAACGAAAACGTTCACCATTCCCTGTTCCTTGCTTTCACAAATTACATCAATAAGTTTTGGTTATTTAATCTCATGTTATGCCTCTCAAGTGATGCAGGTGTACAAGATGACACAATGGTGTAATGCACAAATGATAAAGATCACAATAGTCGATTGACATATGAACCTATTGCGTTACAAAGTGATATGCTTTAGTTATAATTAATTTGAAAAGATATACTGGATCTTAATGCTAAAATCGGAAGTTTGTAATTGTGTTTGCAGTTCCATTAAGGTTATCTCCCTTTGCTTTGTAATTATTAAATGAAGTTAGAATTAAATTTGTGTAGGATAAATCTGGTAAAAGAACAAGCATAGCTGCCTCCCCCAGATCCTGGAGCAAAAGGTGATTCTGTTGTACTTCCAGAGATCTATATTAATCTGCAATGCTAAGGATTGTTCCTAAATGTTCATATGCTGGCAGTTGAAGAGTGAAAAAATTTCATTACAATAAGTAGAATAATCTAAAGTGTAGTCATTCTTCG